GTGAGGAATAAACAGTCCCTACCCTCCCACATACACATTGCTTTATAACAATATACCCTGAGCCTCGTTCCATGTTTTGGTTTGACCGCTCTTGCTTTGCAAACTGTCTTTTTGGTCTCTTGACAATTAAGTTTTACTAATTACTACTTCGAGGATTCATTGTTTTTACTTCTTTAATTTCTGAAATTTTCATGAAAAGAAACACTTTCAGTCTGGGGACAGAGAAGATTATGTGATTATAAATGAAAGGGTTAGTGATCCTTTTGTTCAGTTTTTGGAGAATGATCTTTTGGATATTTAAAAATATAAAGAAGAGGTTGACATTTTATTGAGTGCTAAAAACAAAAAGTGATATAAGGGAAAAAACACACAAAGACTTCTGAAGAATGTTTAAATAGAGGAAGATTGAATAATTATAAAAGCCAGGGAGAATTGCAAAAAGTGCCAAAAAAAGATCAAAGTTATAGCAGATGCAATAAGTGTTCTAAAAAGTAACACAATGAAAAAAAATAACACAACGGCAAAAATAGCTTGAATGAGCAAGGATTTCTGGAAGACAGCACAGGAATGAGCACAATGCATAAAACCCTAGCAGTGGTTCATGACTAAGTTTCTGATCAGAAAGTATGGGCATCATTTCTATTTTGAGGTTCTGGAGTAGAGGCTTGTAGAGAAGTGCCATTTAAGACAACATGGGGCAGGGCCAGCTATAAAGGTGTATATGCCATGCCTCCAAATTTCATCTCATTGCACCCTGGCTCAGTTACCAATTTGCTCCTACTCGATTTACTCTGGAGTGAGAAAATAACTGTAACATGGACAACAAAGCAGGAACAAGCCAGGACCCAGGGATGCGGACACTCCTCAAAGGTTAAAAAGAATCTCTTTCATTTTTAGGAGCTGAAGACAAATGTTTAGCACAAGTCTGTCAAGTGCCCACAGATCCGTGGTTCTGCATTGTGGGTTTTTTTTTTTTTTTTTTTTTTTGCTGTCATGTAGGATTAACATGGTTATACAGATAATTTTGGTCTCTACTTTTTCACAGTAAAACACTTTTGTTATTGGGCACCTGGGTGGCTTAGTTGGTTAAGTGACTGACTCTTGGTTTCTGCTCAGTCATGATCTCAGGGTGAGGAGATGAAGCCCAGGGTGGGGTTCTATACTCAGCAGGCAATCTGCTTGAGCTTCTCTCTCTCTCTCTCTGCCCCTCTCCCCACTCATGCTCTCTCTCTTTCTTTAAAACAAATAAATAAATCTTTAAAAAAGCACTCATGAAAAAATGGAATTTTAGGAATCTAAAAAAATAATTTATCTCTGGAGATATATCTGATTTGTATATTAAATATCAATGTAATTGATGCCAAAGCTCTTTTTTGGGTAACTGTGTTCCACATTGAGGGTCTAGTATCTTTGGATATGATTTAAAATAATTGTGACTTTTCAAAGAGAGTCTCAGACTTTATAAGAAGTGCTAGTAATGCAAACCAAAAATTTTCTTAAGATGAATAAAACAAAACTATAATAAAAGGGGAAATAATGTTTGAAAAGAAAATAAGTTAAAATTGACATAAAGTATATTTTAAAAGATTTATATCTAATACATTTATGTTTTTCTCTTCTTCCTTAGAATTTCAGGAAATTTAGAGATGGATACATTCCATAATGTGCACTACCTCAGACATATGACCACCCCAACCTCTAAGCCACCTGTGACTAATACACACAATTTTGTCCCAGAACTTTTAACATTGTCTCAACAATAAGGTAGAGAAAATAAAAGGAGGTAAAGGCTCACTTTTATTTCACCACCTTTATAGGGGACTCTGCCTGGAGAGCATTGGGGAACAAGAACATTTTACATGGACACATGACATCAAGGGTTAAAGGACACTGGCAGCTTCAGGGATGTCACACTGCCCACAGTCTACAGCCACTGGGGTACATTAATAAATCAATCATAAGACTACATGTTATATAAGAAGCCTCTCTGTGACATTGTTCACCAACTTTGTAGCACAGACTACCACACGAGAAAACCAAGGAGTTGCCACTATGCGTGATGGTGACAGGGGCCTGAAAGGCCTGGGAGCCAAGATTTGTCAGGAGCACAGGGCATGGCCAATTGGCTTTGACTTGTAACAGCACATGCTGGAGTGTTTTAGTGTTATCTGACCAAAAAAAAAAAAAAATACATTTTGTTACCCTTTAATTGAGTTTCTACAAATAATTTTTTAGAAGGTAAAATTGAAATAACATGACCATATGTTCTTAGTACAATGAAATTCAGGAGCACCTGTAAGAGTTTTACTACATCGTTTAATGCCTCTTTAATTGTCCAACATGCATTCTTCTTTCTGTTATCTCCAGTTGAGATATTCCAGGTTTAAGTCAATAATTCTCACTGCAAAATCTCCAGTGTGTGTGAGCACTGGTTACTTAACTGAAGCAAATAAGGATAAGATATATGATTATATATTTATGTAAGTAATTATATTATTGTCACAAATTGTTCCAGCAATAAGTACACAAACAAATAAATACACAAGAAAAATAAATAAATGGTCAACATTAAAATATTAATTCTGCATAGGCTAAAACAATTTCTTAAACTGTTCACTATGTATATAGTATATATATATATACACATACACATACATATAACATGATACATATATATAACATGACATATATATGTACACACATTAACAGAATCAAAGACAGTTTAAAAATTAAAAAGCAAATATCAGAGATAAGTACTGAGAAAAGCAAAGTGGAAAACCCTAAAAGGAAAATTTTCAAATGATTGGATAATATTCTAAGTATAAGTATTAATTTTTGTATTTCTGGTTAGTACGTTATAAGAATTGTAACATAATTGCCTTTTTTTGGTCATAATATATGGCACATATTGCAATTCAAATACTGCTTCTTATGTTTAATATTATGAATGGAAACTACACATTGATTTGATAGAAAATTATTTATTTTTGTGTAAGAGTTTGGATTGGAGTAATGAAAATATTAAATAGTCATAATTCATTTGGCTAAATTCTTGATGTTTTAAAAACTGTCTAGGTTAAAATTGTGTCATCTTAGTAAAAATAAATTATATTGGATTATTGAGTTTAAATTATAAATGAAAATAGAAAAGATAGAAAAGACTATTTCCATTTTGCACAAAACTAGTGTAGCTCCACCATCAGAAATAGAGTCAAAGGTGTTTGTGTGACTTAGTTAAGTGATGGACTCTTGGTTTTGGCTCTGGTCATGATCTCCAAATGTGTAGTAGTAAATGGAGTCCCATGTTGGGCTCCCTGCTTAGTGGGCGGGAGAATGTCTGCTTCTCTCCCACCCCGCACCATTATTCACTGTCTGAAATAAATAAATAAATCTTTACAAAAGTAAGAGACAAAGAAAGAAGAAAGAGAGAAGAAAGAGAGAAAAAGAAAGAAAGCAAGAGAGAAAAAGAAAGAAGAAAGAAAGAAAAGAAAAAGAAAAAGAAAAGAAAAAGAAAAAGAAAAAGAAAGAAAAGAAAAAGAAAAAGAAAAAGAAAAGAAAAAGAAAAAGAAAAAGAAAAAGAAAAAGAAAAAGAAAAAAAAGAAAGAAATTGAATTAGGTCTGGTGGGTGAAAGTGCTTATCTCAAATGAAACCAGCTCTCTAGATTGGGTTTTATTCACACTTAGCGTTTGTTCTCTCTTATGGACTTTTTACTATCTTCCATGGTATCTTTTTTTTTTAAATTTTATTTGTTTATTCATGAGAGACACACACACACAGACACAGAGAGAGAGAGAGGCAGGGACACAGGCAGAGGGAGAAGCAGGCTCCCTGCAGGGAGCCGGACGTGGGACTCGATCTGGGGTCTCTAGGATCAGGCCCTGGGCGTGACATTAGCTGCTAAACCGCTGAGCCACCCAAATGTCCCTCTTCCGTGGTACCCTTAAAGCCTCCAAACAGTCCCAATAAATATCAGAGCAAAAACAAAACTCATTTCCACATTCTATAACTTGGTCTACAGATCTCCCTGGTTTTAGCTGATGGTAGATAAAGGAAAGTTAAATATATGTTTTAAAACTAACATTTCATGTGGTAATATTCTTATCACTTAACAACACAATGCTATTCCACACTGGTATATTTTTCTGAGTCATTTTCATAATGTCAGCCAGAACTGGTAGTCAAAATTTAGAGTTCCACTTTCCAAGCATATATAAACTGAGCTATGTTAAATTTCATGATATAATTTCATGATATACCTGAGATGTATGATTTTCATGATACACAGGCAAAATACCTAACCCAATGGTCAAGATAAAGTTAAATTTCATTTACCTATGCAGAGATGTAGGTTTCTAAAGGGTTTTAAAGACATTGAGTTAACTTTTCCAATATTTATATAAGTTCTCATCCTTTTAAAATTTATTTTGTTTCAGTGACGATAACTTGCAGGTGTGGTACATCTTTACTAGTCAACCATATACAGGGAAAATTGCCTTTAAAATTTAATAATAAATGGAAGTGACCATTTCCAGTACGGTCATTTTTAAAATAAATCAGATGCTAAAATTCTGTTCATTATATATACTTGGCATTGTGCCATGGCTGGTTTCCAAAAAAAAAAAAAAAAAAGGAAAACTAAACAAAAGAAAAAGATGAATAAAACCCACCTAATACTGAACTATTATTAGTGTAAAGCTTGTTCTTTTCCATTCACTGAGGGGACAGGAGTTCCTACTCTGGCTGGATAGAGGAAGACATGCATACTATAATACTATATCTGATATTTTAGATGACACCCGATGGAGAAAATTATTAACTTATATTCAATGCCAGGTAAAATTCCAAATATGAGAACCTACCTAATGTGTATCTCACTCCAAATATTGAGGAGTTTGCTATTGCCATTCTTATCTAACTATTAAGCAGCAAAAAATCAAAATACACAAAAATGCAGGCAATATAGCATGGCCTTTAAGGATAGACTGGAAAGACAGGCTACCTTTATGCTTAATCCAAATCCTCCTACAGTTTGTCTTCTAATGGTCACCGTTCTTTCCTGAAAGACAGGATTTTAAAAGTGGTTAGCATTTCCTAATACTATACTTACATGCCGTTTTCCTCCTCTGGGTTCTGTTTTTGTTCCTTAAAGAAGAAATATTTTGTGACAGCATACTGGTTCTGGTTCTTGAAATAAACAGAGTATTTTGTAATTCTCAAAGCAAAGGATACTTTATTTGTCAAGATAAAAGGGACTGTACTGTTATTAAACTGAATTCCCCCAAATTAGGTTACTTTCAATGCTCTTTGGACATATTTTGGAATTTTAATTTTTAAGCCTCTTCTCATTTTCATATATATATTCTTGTTGTCTAAGAAATGACAAGTTTGGGTTACATAAAAATAACTCAATGTTGATGGTAAATATTATCTTTGTCAAGCAAGGTCATCAACATCACTATTGAGTCATCTTGCTTGCGGAAATTTGAGAGCTGAGCTGGGAGGCTGCCATTCCCAGCACATCAATGATTCTTGTGTGTGTCTAGGATTGAAAACTCTGGATAAGCCAGATTCAAAATGATTGCTTTTTGAAAAAGGAATGGATTCTACACCTAACTAATAATGACACTGGAATCATCAATTTTCAAAATCAATTCTATTTTTCCTTCCACAATGGAAACAATCATTGGTGTATGAAACAAAAGTCACAAAGATCGACATTTGGACAGATCCTTTAATTTCAAAAAAAAAAAAAAATCAGTATTACTCTCTTTAGGGCAATCATCTCTACCTAATGCATATTTTGGAAGTGAGTTGAAAGGTTGAAAGCTTTTATTTATAACTTTCTCCACACTTACAACTTCCTCATGTTTTGAACCCCCTCCATCTATAATGATTTGAGACCACCTACCATCTCCTGCTGTACCAAGGATAGATGTTGGTTATCTGGTCCCCACAAAAGCCCTACTTATTTGACTAAATTACCAATCTTTAAGTCTGACTATTGCTCTCTTTCTTATAGATTCTTTTCTTTGCTCCCTGTTTTTCGAGGGGATGTGTGGAACAGACTATAGTATTTTAAAAGGACAAAGAAAAAATCTGGGAAACATGTGCTTCTGATGGCTCCTCCTAAATATTTTAAGATACCACAAAAAATCATCATTTGAACAGTTACAAGGTACCTTCATTTAGTCAAATTTTAAATTTCATAAATAAAAGCAAAAAAAAAAAACTTAAAGAACAAGATCACTATACCAGAAATTGAGGTATATTAATTGTTATTTTGAATTAAAACATAAACCTTTGTGGTTGGAGATTGGTGCCTATTAAGAAAAAATGATCAGTGCAAATGAATAGTACTTAATTGTATAGATTTCCTTCCTTTTTATCATGTCCTAAGTAATTTGACCTATTTTAAAACTACAGATTTTACTCTTATAGCCTGTCATCTAATTTTGTTTTCAAACCAACAGTAAATTACTTACACAAATTAAGTTTATAGATGTATTACAATTTATGCAAAGTAACATGAAATATAAAACACACTATTCATGTTAAATAATGCCATCTCCACTTTTTTAATTTTAAGCCAACTATTATATTGTTCCTCATTTGTGGAGCCACAAGTATGGGAAGTGGATCTTTGATTAATTCTCATTAAAGGATTAATTAAAGCTGTACATTGCAAATAATGGAACTGAAATCAAAGAATATGTCAATGATTCAAATATTCACAATTTAATATGTTTGGAAAATTACTCAGGCCTTGTGAATCTCCTTTGCCAACTCTGTAAAATGGTGATGAATAATATATAGAAACAACTTTGTTTTGAGGACTGATGTTTGTGAAAGAGCCCAGCATATAGTAAAAACTTAGTGAATATTCTCTCTCTCTCTCTCTCTCTCTCTCTCACACACACACACACACACACACACACAGATACACACAATCTGTTATTCTAAACAAATTCTTACTTAATAGTCACTTAAATATCTGATTAATATTTATCTATTTTTTATTTCAGTAGTTACATCACAGAGTAACTCAAATACTAGAAGACTCAACTCAAGGATAGGCCAATTAAATGGTTATCCTTACTCATAAAACAGACAGGCACACTACTTTCACAATACTTCCTATCAAACTAAATAGGTTCTTAGATGGTAGTTATTTTCTTAATTCCATTTCTATAAGGAACAAATTCTTGAGTCTTTAAGGATTCATCTTTATTTTCTCAAGGTAAAGAATTCAATCTATCAAAGAAAGTATTTCATTAATTAGTAAATGACATCACCTAAATTTTCTACAACATTTTGCACAGCAGTTATTAGTCACAAGGACAACTTGGTGAATACATTCTTTTAACCAGCCAAGTGTTCGCTGAAACCATACCATTTTTCTCTGAAGGGACAGCAAGCATGCCAGGGTTATTAGAGGTCTATGCAATGCCTTTACTCCTTCTCTACAAGACTGCTTTCCAACACTTGGTGGAGAATATTTAGAACATGTTCCAAATCAAATACAAAATTGCTCATGCAAAGAGGACTTTGGAGAAACTAAAGAGTCAGCAGTAACTGCTGAAAATGTTAATGTATTTTAAACAGACAGGCACACGCTCACGCACATGTAAACCCCAGCCAATATCTCTATATGCTATTGCTTCATTAGCTTGCTTTTAAGAAAGTAAGGAGAAACAAGCAAGACAAATTACTTCATGTTTTAAAACCAAAATTTTAAGTTTGTCACTGCAGGTTGCAGGAAGTATAGAATGGCAAACAACTGTTCCTAGTATAGCACCTAATATTCTCCCCATCGTATGTTCGTGTAAGCTATAGCCTCCATCCCTTTCCAACTCTCCACATTTTGTTCTTCCATCCTGCCTCCAAAACAATGTTTTTAAAAGGCAATATAATAAATTATTTTAGCCGCTCGCCTGAGAATCAGAGAATATTTGGAAGCTGATCTGAAGTTTTATTTAGTTATATCTTGGGTGTCCATTGCTTAAGTAACAAAGCACTGTCCTTCAGGAAACCAATATATTATTGGTGATTATATTCTTTACACACAACACAAAAGTAAAACAGGTGCCCTTATACTCACATATATAAAAATATTTCTTTAATCATCCTATTCCTTATAAAATGTAAAGCATAAAGCCCAAGAATAATATTGGACTTTAAATTTTGTGCAGTACACCTCAATAATCAGTGTTAATATTATGACAAAAAACCTACTTAAAATGCTTAATTTGCTTTATGTAAAAATCTATTTTTACTGTCCCCACTGCCCTCTGAAATATTATATTTGAAATACTCTATGTATGCTGTATGAACTATGTGGGAATTATAACCAAAATATATATGTTACCAAAAACAAAATGTCGCCATTATATATCCGAAGTTTAGAAATGTTTGAGATGTGAGGACATCTGGGTAGCTCAGTGGCTGAGCATCTGCCTTTGGCTTAGGTTATTATTCTAGGGTCTTGGGATCCAGTCCTGCATCCATCACTACATAGGGAGTCTGCTCTTTCCTCTGCCTATGTCTCTACCTCTCTGTCTGTGTCTCTCATGAATAAATAAATAAAATCTTAAAAATAAGAAAAAAGAGAAATGTTTGAGATATGTAGGTGAAAAGAGGAGAATGAAGCGAGAACCATGTAGAGAATAGAGAAATTATCAAATGGAGAATTATTTGTACCTATTATGTGAGGATGGAAACAAGGAAGATATGTAAAAAAAGAGACAGGAAATGTATTAGTTCTTTTGACAGTTCAGGAAGAGTGACTAAATTTCAAAAAGGAATAATAGTAAAGATGGTAGCTTCCAGGTTCTGAAAATCAACAATGTAAACTGATAGGTCTCATAGCACATATGATTTTTAAAATGCACTGTGACCGTGACTTTTTTTTCCATGAATTTTTCTGAGAGCTGAGTCAATGTCACAGTCAAATCCCAAGAATTTAGCATAGGACCTATGTCAAAGTTAGGTATTCATGAAAAAAAAAAGTCTTTTGGAAGTATTTTTTCAAGTAATCATCATAACAGCACTTGAGATAGGCAATATTTTCCTAATTTAGAATGAGAAAACTAAATACAAAGGATTAAATTAACTTGACCAAGATCCAAATTATGATTTAAATGAAACTATCTCTGATTCCCACTGTCTTTTCTATAACAACAGGACTGGGATGAGATGGAGAATTGAGATGAAAGAAACAAAGAAACTGGAAAATCGAGGTAAAATGTAATAAAAAGAGAGGGAATTGTGAGAAACTGAATGTTTTCCCTCTAAAACTGAGGAAAATGCAAGGATCCTCCCCTCTCATCACGCCTGTAACATTGTGCTTGGAGTTTCAGCAAGTGTAATAAGGCAATAATATGAAGTAAAAGGCATTGTCTATGTAGAAAATCCTAAAGAATCAACAAAAACCTCCAAGAAATAATAGCAACTCTAGCAAGGTCACAGGAGAACAAAAAATATATAAAAGTCCATTGCTTTCTTACACATGAGCCATGAGGGATTAGAATTTGAAATGAAAATCATATTATTTATAATAGCTCACTAAAAAGGAAATACTTGGTATAAATCTAACAAAATAAGTAAGGACCTATATATGGAATACTACAAAACTCTGGGGAAAGAAATCAAAGATGACCAAAACAAAGAAAGTTATTTCATGTTCATGTTCATGTTCTTCTGACTCAATATTTTTAGGATGTCAATTCTTTTCTGGTAAATCTATAGAATCAATGCAGTCCCAATAAAATCTCTGCAAGCTATTTGTGAATATTAATAAAAGGTTTCTAAGGTTAACATGGAAAGCCAAAAGACTCATAATAGCCACCACATACTGAAGTTAAAGAAAAAGTTGAAGGACTCAGGATGCTTGATTGAGGACTTACTAAAAAGACACAGTAATCAAAACGGTGTGAAAATTTTGAAGACTAAACATATAAATTATTGAAATAGAACAGAATGCCCCAAAACAAAACAAAAGCAAACAAACAAATCCAGTCAACTAATCTTTGACAAAAGAATAAAGGTAATTTAATGGTG